GGCCCAGGCACGGAGCTGCCATTAACACAGGGCCCGGCCCTCCCAGCGCACAGCCACTTCTGGAATGCGAAGTAACTCGCCGCTCGCGCCGTCCCTGAGAAAAATACCGTCCGCGCCCAGAACGCAATGATCCAGATGGGAGAACCCCCCCCGAACAATTCCAAAACTGAGGGAACTGTGAAGTCTGGCCTTCCATTGAATTCGAAGAAGGAAATCAGAGAAACAGAACGACTTCAGCATTGCCATTTTTAGACCAACACTTGTGATCAATATACTGTATTAGCCATATTAACTTATTAACTCAAAACTTATACATCTGAAGTTGGGAAATTGTCTGCCAGCTGGCACAGTAAGACCACCATAATTCAAGTACAGACTTCATGTTATATTTAACACAGTACAGAAAACATCTACAGCATTCCCATTGATACAGGAACACATGAAGAACCAGCCTAGAGTAGCGCTGCATTTTACCTAAATCTGACCCCTTTGAACACAGTATGCTTTAAACCAAAACCGTTTTATTGTGCTTCACTAAAACAATAAATTACATTTAACAAATTCCTCCACTAAAGTAAATATCATAAATGGTAAGAAAATATAAATGAAGATGCCTATTTGAGAAAGAATAATAGCAACACTTTCTCAGGGTACAAAAGAAAGAATATATACATGCACAAAATATTTTTTGAGCATCTGTTCTTGTATGTTAGAACTTTGGAGAAGTGTTAAGTAGTGTTAGGAAAAATAAAACTGCAACAATTTCTTGTCTTGAAGGACCAGAATACTACTAGAAACTTAGCATTAAAAAAGTAAACTCAATTCAAATTCTGGCCAATAACAGAGGAGTACTATAGAAAAGACTTGATACAGAACAAGGAATGAACTGTGTTTTTTTTTCTGAATAAAAAAATGCAACATGTAGTAACTGTAATATATAATATGTTTAAAAAATGTAACAGTAATATTCCTTTAAATATAGACTTCAAATTATGTGTTATTGCCTTTCAGTACCTCTCTGTGAATTATTAAATACAGCTGAATGGCCGTTCTTAAAGCAAGGCAGCTACAATCATATCCCAGTGGTGTACTAACACTTAGGAAAAGTGCACCTTGTATTAGGAAATAAAAATTTAATGGGTGAAGAGAGCAAATTAATTTTATTATTTACTAACACGGCAAACTTGAAATTAATTCATATCAAAGCCCAACTGTATTACTGTATATGGTAATGTAATAATGATCAATGTAATTTTACTATTGCGGTCAAATATAAATCATGGTTAAGAGAATTTTGCTTCTAAAACTAGAGAAAGGGATACTGCTGTGTTTCCATAAAGAACACACAAAACAATCTGTATTCATTTGGTTCCACCCTAGAAAAGAAAACACTGATCTTTCACCGAAGCAAGAAAGACACCTACTGTATCCCTCTCTGAGTGTTATAAACTAAACACAAACAAACAAGACAGGACAGCAGTCCGCTCTGCCTCTGTGTGGTCCTGCTGTCCAGTGCTTGTAGGAATCATGTTCTCATTTGTACAGTAACTGGAAACACACCTAGAGCAAGCTCTACACAAGTGTATGAAGGACCACACATCCGCCCAATACATTCTGAATCACAGTGATGCTCTATTGAACCTCAACTTAGAATCAACAACAAAAAAATGCATGTGACAAAGTTGTATCAGGACCAATGAGCGATCATCCACACTAAGCCTTCAATGGTATGTACTTCCCAATTCTGTCTATCCTCCTTTGAAAAACGATGTCGCTGTGTTTCTTGATCTGATCCTGAAGACGATAATTTGTTTAATGTCAGCAGGGAGAGTATTTCATTTCTCTTTGTGACACTGGCTATAATTTATCAACACAACGAAAGCCTCTTCTTTCGAAAAGCCAAGGGCTTCTGCTATCTCTTGTGGACAGGAAATCATGATTCCTGAAAGCAAACACTAGTTTAATCCCCAGAGGAATGACATCTAGGCACGTCTGTGCCAGTTAATAATAACAGTCTTTTGTACTCACATTGTCTTCCGCAAATAACTCTGAACGATATTCAATAATCCTTCTAGAAAAGTTTTTTTTCCTCAGAAATAAAAAACTCTGATTAGCTTTTCTGTTTGTTTGTTTTTCTTTTCAGGCTGTGCATCTTAAAATCTGTTTTTAAAAGTATCAGATTAAGGAAATTGATAAATCCATATAATAGACGTCACGGATATTTCCCCTCATCTCTTAATTTAAAAATGGTCTGGTCATGGCTCCGTCCCCATCACTGCTGCATGGCATGGAAAAGGCCATCTCAAAAATACTCCATTCCCCAAGTGCATCTTAACATCACTACTATAAATGTAATAATCTGCTTCAACACTTTTTACACGTGAAATAAACACAGAAAGGCGGGGGGTGGGGGGATGGGCAGTGTGCAAATACAACACAATCCTGCCTTTTCACAATAAAAACATATTTTTTGGTCAGCAGATGGTCATCTGGGTTAATAAGCTAGGTCATACTGGGCTAGGCAGTTAAGGTAGAACACATAGGTGCCAAGACTGTGCAGTTAAAAACATGGCAGTACATTTCTTTATAAAGCCGCTTCATTCAGGCTATCAGAGCAATGCCCAGTGGGGTTTGCGTGATAAGAGACTAGCTGGTCCTCAGACAGTTGATAAGTGTCCCTTGATGGGGCCTGATTCAGAGGGACAGGTCTGGTCCCTGCTGTTAACTACCTTGTTACGCAGCTACTGTACTATCAGAGGGACTCCGAGATGAGCACAAGTCCACTCTCCCAGACCTTGTCAGCTGCCTATCACAGGCTGGTATCTTCAGGGCCTGGAGATCCAGGAAGCACTACAAGCCTGAAAAGACTTCAAGTCTCCGTTCTGATGAAAGGAATCTCTTTCCTTCCTTTGCAATAAACGGCACAAATCAAACTCTGCAGGGTGTGCTGTGCCACTGCCTGTCCTGCTCCCCCAATATTTTCCATTCAGTGGAAGGTAGGATGTAGGGATTCAGTTGGGCTATAATGCAGGATCATACAGTACCTCCTCCTGCAAATGTATTTGTTCCTAAAAAAACACATTCCCATTCCTGACACACTCAATTGAAATGTGTCTTTACATAAAGATACTAATTATTCAATCACATTAAATGTTCTTTTGTATGCATTGAGGCTGAAGTGAAATTTAATTCATGATGCAAAGATTCATTCTGGGTTGTAGTAAATGCAGTTTTCAAGTTGCCTATCTGTGTTATTAATACCAGAAGAATTTCAATTAAACACTACCCTGAAAGTTGAAAATTGAGTGAGCTATGGTCTACAGACCATACACTTTATGAAAGGTACACAACACAAGTAAAGAAAATCCATTCATTTTTTTATTCTATATGCCATGTATACATGACAAGGCTTTTGGGAAAAGTATTTCTTCATAATGGACCTTTTCGCTTTTAAACTAATTTATGCATTCACTGTGGTTACATTAAAAGACTGGTTTGCCTAGCAACTAAATTGCCTTAAGTTTCTTTCTTCTTTTATGTATTTCAGAATACAAAACAGAAATTATCCTAACCACACAGGTGTAGACTTAGTGACTATCAAGTGAAGTCTAAAGTATCTTATTTGTAAAATAAAAAAAGACTAATATCTATATACAGTACTACATGTAGCATAAACAGCATAGCACTGCCAATAGACTATCATATGTCAGACAGATTGCGCGTTAAGTTCAGTAGCTTATTGGTAGGAGTGAACCTTTAGATGAATGAAGATTCATGCTTTTATAAGCCTCGTTCTGTCAAAGCAATATCATAAGGTCATGAATCAGAATACAAGATCTAGGCTTTCAGAGAATATAAAGACTTGCTTACTCAGAACATGCTTTTATCCTGAAATGTTAAACATCCTGAATGAAATGCAGATTTTGCAGTAACTCGCTATGAAAAAGTACCCCTGGAGGGGCAGCAGGCAGACGGGTGGTTCAAGCTTAGATTTTCACTATTTTTTACTACACTTGTGGCAAATTTTTCTCATTTAAATACATATTTTTGTAAATTAAATTACCTCGATAGAACAAATTGCAGAAATGGCCATTTAAGAGGTCAGACATTTTTAAAAGCAAATCAGTCATACAAAGTAAACTCATTTTTTCACACTTCTTTGTTTTCTAAATTTTTACTAAGGTAAAGGTAAAAAATCCCATATAAATAAAAAGATCTGTTCTCACAAAGTAAAATAGTCTATACAAAGAAATTATTTATTTCAGGTAGCAACACCAGACTGTGCAGATGTTTAACATAATCTTGTTCTCAAAATCAATTTTTTACACAGGTACTATAATATTCAGAATTACATTTCACAAAAATCAGTTGCAAGTGTGCATCATACCTAAGCATGAACCTTTTTCTCCACAGTAACCACAGGCAAACAAATTGGCAGCAGAAATAATAATTTATCTGAATTCTGCGTTTAATTAGGAATTGCTGTATCTGTGCTGTAGAACTGTGGCTTATTTTGTATGAGTTCCACAGCAGATGCGTTTAAAGCCACTTTAAAAAACATACGCAGTCCTTTCATTTGCTGAAAATTAGTTTTTTTATGCAGGAGTATCCACATCTAGTTTTATATGAGGTAAGTGATTGGGATTAAATTGTTGCAGGCCTTTAGAAATCTGTTAAAAGGTACCCCGTAAAGCCTGCAGGATGGGGTATGTTCAGTGCTCTCTTGGCTTAAGGCTATGCTTCACTGAAAGTGAGAGTGACCAGGATAGCAGCAGTACTGAAAGATGGTTTACTCAATGTTGCTCTTGACTGCATTAAGATGAATACCTCTTCCCACAACCACATAGCTCAGTATGATCAAACTAAACGACATTGATGACAACGTCTCATTTTAGTATGATCATTGTGATGCATATGTACTGTAATGCTAATACCAGGTTGCAATGCAAGTGTACTTGGTTCAGTGACTAAATGACTTTCCCAGACTTGATTAGGATTACCTGGTGCCTCCGAAGAGGATAATCTTGTCTCCCACCATGCAGCAGCACTGTCTTCTTCGGGGACACGGAGCTTTTCCTTTGGGATCTATCTTCTTCCAGGAGGAGCTCTCTGCAATGAACATATACCACCTCCTTATTATTTTACTAATAAACCACACACCGTGACAACATTCATCTCCATGTCCTAACGGACTATACAATATACACATTATAAAGAGCTGTACTCTACATATTTCAATGCCATAACAGAGATTCATGTTTATTTTCATCTAAATATAGTTATAAAAATGACCTTTTAAACCAAATATGTTTTTACCTACAAAATCATAAAAACAATAAGGCCTTATAAGGTTATGTTAGACTCATTCTGATCTAATATAATCTTTGATATCTCTCACTGTTCCAATTTCACCCACAAATACTATTTTAAGAAAGAAGACAAAAGCAAAGAAAAAAAGGGTCTAATTGTTACATAAAAGCAATTGCCCGTGAAATTACACACGATAAATGAAAATGAGGCTTTTCTGATCCATTTCTGAATGGTACGACTGGTGCTCATTCATACATTCCATATATAGAAGAGACCACTGTTACTTATTACACTGATCAATGTGAGCAACTGCATCACAGGACTTCTATGGCAACAAGCACTGCATCCTTTGTCAGCTACTTCACAGTATGTCACAGACTCTGTGTAGGATGTTAACACTGCCATCTTTTGGCTAAATTAAAACATGAAAAGGTTCTTTGCATTCAAGTAATTCACCAAGACTGATTTTCTCTAACCACTTAGTTATTCTTAAAAATGTCTAAAGCTGTACTGAACTTTTCTAAAAAGTTTTTTTAAAGGAAAGCTATTATCATGCGTTCTGTAAAGACTACATTTGTAGATGTGCTAGTACTTAACTGGTTTTACTTAAGACCCATATATAGTAACAGTTAATGAAGGAACACAGCATCAGAAAGAGGAAAATGTTCAACAGAAGAAAAAAACAAAACTGCCAAAGAATAAAACATTAATGTATTAATGTTTCCCATCAGAATTAGGATTTAATCAACAACCATACAACAAGCAGTATCATTTCGGCACTTAAAAGTAGCTTTCAACAGAAACTGGTGAAACCACACACTGAGATGAAATGACTTACCTGGATTAAACTTCCAGAGATCACTGAAGTGTCGATCCAGCCGTGCGTTATAACCACCAAATATGTACAATTCACCATTGTAGGCAACTGAAAAAAAACATTCATTTTCATTTTTAAGGAAAAAAATACATATTTTTAGCAAACATTCATTTGAGCAAACTGTCTAATGTTCCGTATGTATCAGGAGAAATAAAAGTAGTCCTAAGAAGTTAAAAAAACAACAATCGATAATTTCAACATTCTTAATACCATTAATGAACTGATTTATGTTTATTGAACACCAAATGCTGAATGTGTGTTTAGCACGCACCTCTGAAAACCCCATTTAAAAGCTTGGGAATTATTGCTTTTTAATTCAGATTTCTTGAAATTCTACAGACCAATATTTTACCCCTCAGTATTTTTCACATTAAGTAAGTTCACATTATTTTAGAAACTCGCCAATAATTAATTAAATATTTCCAAACAGCTCCCCGATATAAATGGGAATTCTTTACCGATTTAGTGAAAACACATTTTCTTAATCAATAATTAAGTCTTTTCTGCACCACAAATCACTTCCCTTGCTGTAATATTACACAGGAAGTAACAAAATGGCATCAATGCTCAAACCTCTGTTTTCCAACAGGCTCAGATTTGTCCTTCCAAACATCCTGCTTATGTCTAGTTTCTAGTGAGTTTCATCTGATGAGGGTTTATCAAAGAGGGAACTACAAACATACTGTAATACAATGCACATGCAGAACCTTTTGATTTTGGGACCAAAGATTTGGGCCAAGAATGACGTCAGTCAAACAAGATTTATGGTCACAGAGCCTTCAATCACTATGATTAAGGAAAGTGGTCTCTGTACTGAGAGGAGCAGGATGCAGGGCTGAATGAATAGATCTGTGTTCTGCTCTGGCATTCTCTCAAAATCTCCTTTTCATGAACGAAATGATGCCCTAAGTATGTTCTCTTCACACCTCAGGTGTTAGCAAGGTCACTTATTGGTGCAGTCTACTCAAATAAGCGTTAATGCTGTGTCGTATGTACAGTATATACGCACATAACACAGGATGCAAAAACGGTATTAAAAGATCACAATGGAAATCACAGCATGCTAGACTGCATACATTATGAAAGAAAGACAGCTGGAAAATTAGACTTCAATCTCTTGCCTGTTTACAAAAAATTCTAAGACCTGTTGACAGCAGTTTACAACAATTTTTGCAGAGGCCATCCAAAGCACTTCACAGCACATAAAAAGAAATACTCCTTACATTGCAGGACCTTGCTACAACATAAGAGCAAAAAAGGTTTTTGGATTTAAAACCTGTGAGAAGTTTGAGACTCCTAATATAATGGTAGAGCTCCACAGGAAAAGCAAGCGAGCACAGAAAATGTACTCTTCAGTCAAAAGCTACTTTTATAACAACAAGTTGGAGGAAAATAATTTTAACAAAAGGGGTCTATTAAGTACATGTAGTTTTTGTGGAAAGTAATGCATTTCATTATAAAAACACTTTCTCCACTTGAGATGTCATGTAAAACACTAATTCAAAAGCCTGCTGTGTGATTCCTCTGTCTGAGAGTCTGGCAGCCACTGCAGCACAATCACACAACAGTACACTGCGCATCGCTAACCGAGACGCAAACTTCAAGCACAAACCTGTATGCTAGGACAGATCGACACAGTCCAAATTGGTAGAATCCCATCACAAAAGGCAAAACGCTATGCATTACATTAGGATTTTTAAGTGTTTAAGTTTTAGTTGCTTGAAGCCAGGAGCTCGTTGCCGCAGTCTGTGCTTGCACAACGGGTCCAGTACTCACAGGCTGAATGGCTTCTCCTGCCCTCTGGAAGGAGCTGGGTGTTTGGGGAGTCCAGCCAGCAGTTGGTTTCTGTGTCAAACACTTTAATCTTATTGCAGTATATTTCGTTGTTCGAGTGGAACGGTCCGAACCGATCCGCCCGGCCACCGAACACGTACATTTTCGTGCCGATGACGGTGGCAGAGTGGAAGTCCCTCCAGCGAGCTGGGGTGCCCTGTGGGAAAGCAACGGCATGAAGGAACGTTCAGGAGGGCAGAGCGTGTCTGGATCTGAGCATGGCCAGCCACCACACCCCGGCTCTTCACAGCAACCATGATCAAAACCAAAGCCACTTGTTCCTGGTAGGGGTGATGGCTACCCAGCAGCCACCCTGGAAGCACAGGGCGCAAAGCAGGACTGGTGGGACCACAGTCCTTCACAGGGCACCCAGGGGCAACTGTACAGACACCAGTTAACCCAGCCAGCATGTCTGTGAGGGCCACCTGGTGTTAACACACACCTAACCATTGAGTACACAAAAGCGTCGCTCTGAGGGTGCCCCAGGTCACAAACGAACCCTACAACCAGGTTGGTGGGGGAGCCCCGCTCACCACTCACCCTCCCTCCTCCCTCTCATTCTGGGACGTGCGTTCAACCACATTCAGCTTTGTTAACATGGGACGCGCTCCAAACCAGGCTCTTCAGACTCGGGAGATTAAAGATGTGATTCTGGGCAGTCTGTTTCTGAAGATGCGCTGACTTCATTGAGACATATCTGATATGAGCAAACGCATTGAAAATAAAACCCAAAAATGTGACAAAGTTCCCTTCAAGCCTAAGAATATTATGGAAAATAACACAGAAGAGCCTGGTTTAAGACAGCAGGCCAGTAAAAAAAAAACTATTGTATTTTGTCCAGTATTTGATCCATTTGTTTGCCTTTAACACTGGTTCTGTGAGGACACCTAGTGGTAGTTTTAACTCCCGTGGGCTTGATATAGTAAGCTCCCGATGAAAAACACGAATTCACAAGCCCAGTAGCAAGCCTGGATCTTGGCTAATAATGACTGACACCCAATATCCTAATCTTAAAACCAGCACATTTGTTTATTTGACCTTTTATGGCCTGAAAGTGCTGCCAAGAGAACAAGGCCATGAAAACTGAATCTGGGCTTCAGGTCTGGCTAGACTGCAAATTCATGTCGCAAGACATGAGAATGCAGAATGGAGGCGGGTGCAGATCAAAGCTTGTCTCCCAGATGTGAATTGTGAGCCGCTAGAAAAAATGAGTGTTGGTCAAGGTGCACACTTTGCAAAGCTTTCCTCTGAATTCAAATCTGAATTTGTAGCAGAATTATTACTATTATAAATGTACCTCACTCATCATCCTGAAAAAAAAAGTATGAAACCGATTATTTTTATAGAGTAATTATATACGCACATCTTGTATAAACAATAATTTGACATTCAACATGGATTGTCCACTGCCTATAAATATTATAGAGCAACAACAAAAATTAGTTATTTTTTATCAAAAGAATTATTCCAATAATATATGAGCTCCTCTGTTTTTACACAAAAACAACAAATCAGGGCAAAGGTTAAACTACCACATTTCTCCTTTGACTTTTCATAAAACTGAACAGTCCTTTCTGTTATGCTCTCTGACAACCGCTAAGGTTAAAAATAGAGCATAACACCTCAACAGATTCCCTCAAGCGGAACAGTAAGACAATAATAAAATGGCAGGGATCACCCTGTTTATTTTTATGAGCTCTACAAACCAAAGGAACTACATTAGCATTAAAACCTGGCCACTATTAAGTAAATGCTAACTCAATATTGACTTATTAATTATGGCTCAGAACTACTTCTTGGGCTGAAAAGCTATGTTTTTTTTAGTTCAGTCTTGACTGTCTTTGGATGTTTAAAGTTATGTCTAATCATGATAGAATACTTCACGCTAATATGGGATACCATAACATTTTTGGGATGGCTGAAACCACTCATCTAGTAATAGTTATTCATTCCAAAAAAAATAATTTCCACAAATAGCAAGGTCAAAATATATTTCATGAAAGGTCCTACGTTTATACTGGTAGCCTTACAAAGTAAGCAATGAGCTTTTATTTCCAACCAAACATTCGAAGTATTTTTCTTTGCCAAAGTGCTTTATTTTTTTTAACTAAGCCTTTATTGTAATTCCATGGAAATTTAAACAGATGATGCAAATGGAAAAAGAAAAAAAATTTAACAGTGACACCTAATGGGCTAAATAAATACTGCTTAAAATACTGTAGTTACAGTGCCCAATTCATTTAAGGAAAGACAGAGATCTACTAGCATTCTACTGTAACTGCAGCTACATATTTGTCAACAGCTGAATAACTACAGTCTGATAAAAAAACAGTATTTTATACATGTACAGTGGGCTCAAGAAGGATTTATCCTTTATATAAAAATTGTACAGTTTGACACTTTTTTAAACAGGCTCAACACGGGGAAAGGAAGGGTTTACTACAAGACAATGAAGAGAGAACAATATGCATCAGGGACTATTTGAACTATTACAAGGAATGCAATATATGATTCTGTGAAGTACGCACAGGAAAAAATGATCCTTTTTATATTGGATTCAAACCAACATAGAGGGATTTCTTTACACACATGCGTCAGGGGGATATGGGATAAGCTATTCAGCCATGCTGCTGAAACATACCCTGCATTCCTTCAAGAAATGGCTGGATTAGATCCTGAATTTAATGAGCTACTACCTATCAAATGGGCCAGATTGGCTGAATAGTCTCCTCTTGTGTGTAACCATTCTTATATCACTGTTCCTTAGAAGTATAAATAGCTGTCAATTTAATACAGGCTTCTGTAATTTAATTCCCTTATGGTGCAACACCAGACACAACATGTCTATATCAAGCTTCGTTTTCTGTTTTGCACAAGTCAAGGAATGAGAAAGGAACAGATTTTAAAAGACAGAACATGATTATTCCAAAAGAGACAATCCTGTAAAGTCTTTATTTGTGGGTCTTGGGACTACACTATTTTCAACTGAAAACACAGAGCAAACAGCATTCCCCTCTGACAGCTATTAATCAGACTTGTTATCACCTCAGCACATACAGCCAACAGGATAACGCATCCAACAGAAATAGCAGTGAAGCTTACCCTTGTATTGACTAAAGACCAGCACATTGTCATCGTGTCCAGTTTATGGATATCATTCGAAAAACAGTCGGCCTAAAAAAAAAAGAGATTAATCATACCACTGAGTCAAAATTAATGAACTGCTTGTTTTTATTTTGAAGACATCAATGTGAGACTTCACAGGAACAAACTGAGTAACTAAATGAAGTGAGCAATAATATCTCTTTACTATAATAACTTTTTTCACCCAATGATACTTCATGAAATGTTATTGGATGGATAATTATGAAAGTAACTACACTTCAATTGACACACAACTGTCTGGCACCAGCAGGAAAGTTGCCTGCTGTGGAAGTTATAAGCCCTCCATTTAAAAAATGAAAGATCATCTGAAAAAAAAAATGGAGAAACCTGAAACCTAAGGAATAGTGCAGAGCAGGATTCTTGAGTAGCAACTTAACTTTGTTAATGGTTTTCAAGGAACATTTTGTTTACAAATGACAACAAAATGTTTGTGGGTTTTTATGCAACCTGTGGTGTATAACATTTCATGGATGACATTCTACGGCATGTAAGTTTGGGCTTTCAATTTACGTAATATTACTGAATGTTTCTTTCTTGTGAAGGTTTTTTGTTTTATATTATCTCTGGTGGCAAATGTGTCTCAGCAGGAGAGAGGACAGATGTCTCACAGGAGGCAACAGCAGGACCATAGAGGACATGGATTTCAAAATCTACCTACAAGCTGCTCGTATCCCCCGAAGATGTACATGGTCTTTCCCAGGACGCAGGCTGAATGACCATCTCGAGCTCCTGGGATCGTTCCCGAAACCTTGGGCGTGTACCACCTGTGGGTGTCTTAAACACAGGGAGAAAATGATGTTAAAACATGTCTGCATCGTGTGTATTGCCTTCTAGGATTTCATTCTTTAATAAATCCATATAACGCGGAAAGACATGAATTTTGAGAGCATCTCTCCTGGTATTCAGCATGTTTTATGAATGAGCAACTGTGTGTATATATCAGTTGCAGGCCATCTACCACAATTAATTAAACTGCTTCAAAAGGAAACTCAAGGCGAGCCAAGCCACATCTTTAAAACTTCTTATTTGACTAAAGCCTTAAAAAGAAAAACAATCTTGGAAGAATATCATTTTTTTGTACCGAAATATTTTCTCAAATTAAGTCATAAAAGTAAATGCTGCTGGAGAGAGCATGGGCATCCTTTTAATGGAGACCACATCTTCATCAGCTGCCATTCCCTCCAACAGCAAACTCAGCCAAACGCTTTATAATTCCTGACGCGGGTGAAGTTTAAGACTTCAGACAGGCCAAAAGACAACATCTTGTTAAATTTCAAAAGTAGGGTCTTTAAAGAGGAGCAAGATCACCGACTCAACGCTTTATTTTTATACCTGCTCCTTATCACTATCGCGGGAGTCCGCAGTGCTTTAAAAAAGACAAGGCTTCTCCGCTTTCCTAAAAGAAGCTGTTAGAACCCTGCAGTGCTGTCATCGACTTCATTCACAGTGACAGAGCGAAACCAGCATGTCGGGCCTCTTTCCCATCCTAGCATGTGAAGCCAGACGGAAAGAGAATCAGGGGGGCATTAAGGCCTGCAATAAAGTGAGGTCTATCTAAAGGACGTCCAAAAGCAGCTTCATGCCCTCATATTTCACATGCACTACACAGTAAAAATGTGACAGTGTCTAGGAAGCATTTGTTTTCCAGCTGCAAACACCCTTCATGGAAATGAAAGAGGCCCAGCGCTGGCCTGGACCTGGGTGAAAGGAAGCACAGCCACATGTCTGGGAGCTGCCTGCAGCCGGAGGGGAGCGGACTGGACTCACTGACGTCGAAGGCGTACAGCACGTTGCAGGCCCCTTCCGTGTCGTTCCTCCCTCCCCAGATGTAGATGGTGTCGTCCACCAGCACGGCGGTGTGGCCGTATCTCATGTAGGGAACCTCCCGCGCGTGCTCCCTCCCGCCGGTCCTCACGGGGGGCAGCTTCGTCCAGCGGAGAGACACTGCGGCGGGACAGACGACACATGGTCACCCGAGGAGCCGAGGTCGGGGGAGAAAAGCGGGCGGGCTGGAGCAGGGGGGGGGGGGTCTCTGCTATCAAAAACGGAAGGCACTCGGGCAAGAGCAGGACCTGGGTCTGGAGCGAGCGCGGCAACTTCCGACGAGGCACGAAGCACAGACTGCAGTCGTGTTCAGAACGGCCCAAGTTCGATTTATGGCAAAGGACATTATTTTTCAGGATATTTCGCCCAGTGCAGTATTTATACACTTGCCTCTCCAGCTGCTCTGTTAGCAGCATGAAACCAGTTCTGCCACATGAGTGACAAAATAACTGAGGCACGAACTAAATGCGGAACTCAAAGCACATGACGCGCAAACACCCAAAAGCAAGGCAGGTTGTCAAATTTAAAACGGTAAAAATACAGGTCCCTCAACTTCTGCCATTCATTTTACAAACTTTTTAAACGTTCTACCTGACGCTTGAATATCTCTTTGCCTGAATATCTCCTTTAACTGAAACGGTTAAATCAAGAACTACTCGATCCGCATAAAAGAAACCTGCCAGATGGAAACGCTGTCCGCAGCGCGGCAAGCAAGCTCCACATTTTTAATTTACCGTCTCACACGAAAGTCTCCCTTGCGTGCGAGAAAGTAAATTAAGGCAAAAGCAGATGTTAGGCTACAGTAACAAAACCATAATTAGGTTCAGCTCATTATTGCAGTAATAAAAACATTTGCGTTATTGTCCACATCGGTTCCAGGCCCCAATATACAGCTAAGACGCAATGCTGTAAAACGGGTTTTTAAGACTAAGCTCTGGCATGTGACGCCTCTTAAGAAGCACGACTCAGCGCTTCGCAACCGAGTGCTGGAGAGAAACTCCCTGGCGATGACCCAAAACAGGAGCCCGCAGCGGCAACGGGGCCATTACACTTCCCCCGCTGGCCCCGAGGGGCCCCCTAGGGCCCGGCCCACCTGCGTTGAAGACGTGGACGTCGATCTGCCGCAGGGTCTCGTAGTCCTCCCCCGAGCAGTAGCCGCCGAAGGAGTACACTTTGTGCCCCACGGACACGGCCGCGTGGTTGACCCGCCGCGGCCCGCCTTCCAGGTGCACCGTCCAGCGCAACATTCCCTCCCGGAGACGTCCCCGCCCAGCCGCTCTAGAGCATCGCGCCCCTCGCCGGCCCGGCCGCCGTCACGCCGTGGTCATGGCCCGTCCTGCAGCAGTGTAATACAGAAGCGTTACAGGCAATGTGCGAGTTATTTGGGATAAACATTATATATGACCCCCTCCTCTCGCTACACTTGAGCCCGCAGCTATAGTTTACAGCTTCAGCCTGCAGCTCACAGCTGGCAGCCCACCGGAGCTCAGCAGTGTGAGCCCGGTCAGTACCTGGATAGGAGACTCCTGGGAAAGCTGAGGCTGCTGCTGGAAGAGGTGTTAGTGGGGCCAGCAGGGGGCGCTCACCCTGCAGCTTATGTGGGTCCTTATGCCCCAGTATAGTGATGGGGACACTATATTGTAAAAAGGGTGTTCCTTCAGATGAGACGTAAAACCCAGGTCCTGACTCTCTGTGGTCATTAAAAATCCCGGGGTGTTTCTCAAAAAGAGTAGGGGTGTTACCCCTGTGTCCTGGCCAAATTTCCCCCTGGTCTTTACCAATCATGCCCTCCTAATAATCCTCATCTCTGACCTGTTCTCCTCCCCACTGATAGCTGGTGTGTGGGGAGGGTACTGGAGCACTATAACTGCTGTCGCATCATCCAGGTGGGGCTGCACATTGGTGGTGGTGGAGGGGAGACCCCATTATCTGTAAAGCGCTTTGAGTGGAGTGTCCAGAAAAGAGCTATAGAAGTGTAAAAAACTGTTATTAAACCGGCATTCACAGCGAACTGTTCCAAGACGAGTCTTTCTAACCTCTAGAGTCGTCATAATTATACAGTATATAATATACAGTATGCATTGGGCCTATATAATATATAACTAGATATTATATATAATTATATATTTTTAGACATTATAATTATGTAATAATTATAAGTTATTAGCTTGATGTCACTGGTGAGACAGTGCCAGTGAGTCCCCAGCTGCTCCTTCTCGATAAAGACTCCCAAACTACTGCTGATCTGCAGCCACTACTGGTTTGGATGGGTGGAGACGCCTTCAGATGGCACTTGCTTGCTTTATTTGCAGAAATTAATGGAAACAGGACTAACAAAAAGAGGTAAGATCTGAGGAGGCAATGCAGTTAGATGCATGAACTAACCTCCAAAAACCCTGTCTTAGTATCGGATTTAGTGTGTATAACTACACTTTTCGTTTTATACAATTTATGAACTAAACAAAACTTTGTTCAGAAAAAAGGACATGTATCCCCTACAGTTACTCCGCAGTTTTATGCAGAAACCTCCCGTGGAGCTTGCTGAATTCTGCTTTATTTTGTGAGAGCACCACTATTTTAAGAACAAGATGGACTCATTTTGCTGGCTCAAGTGACAAGACCCCTGGCTGACCCAAGAAACAGAAAAATGATAAGGGTTGGACTAGTTGAAGAGCAGCAAAGTGCAAAATGGTAGAGCACGGATTAAATTACAGTAAATTAAACTGTAAAACTGTAAAAGTAAACAGTAAAGGATTTGCATTAAGTTTAAAACCACAGTGCTCTTTTAAAGTGTAAAGCACATTACAAACTAACAATATTGCACTGAGCTAAAATGATGCAACAATAGTACATACAGGGACTTATCCTGGTTTGTTCTATGTCCTTCACTGTTAAACTCGCCACGTATTTCAACGAGCTAAACTTGACATACAGTATTGCCTCTGAGAACTGCATTCATGTTTAGAACAAATCTCCAATTCCTGTACCCCTCCAGTGAAATTTACTTCATGGTGAGCCAGTTTTCTGCAGTGAAAATTATTTTCTAAAGCTATATAGGATACATTATGTTCTGCTTTTCAGGATGTTATATTCTCCAAATCCTTATTTATATATAGAAAACACCTGATAGCTCTTCAATCTGCAAGTGTCATTGCAATTCAACATGAAAGCCGCTGGCATTTCTACTCTGTCCATGCTGGCCAAGCACTATCACTGCTATCCATGGACTGTGGACACCAGAGCTCTTGTTTCCACAGTTATTACAGTCCTCACATTGTTAGATAAAGCTTGAATATTCACCAAGATCCCAAACTGGTTCATTATGGCAAGAATCTTTTTTCTCTTTCTCTTACTTTTGAGAAAGTGTAAAAATATAGTTCTCCCAAATGTTACAATTCATTTTCCCTGACTGTTCTAAAACACAAGTTTTCCATGACACATGCTTACTGTCATACCTAAATAACTGACTCTCAGTTCCTTTTCAGCTCCTCCAATTTACCTGTATAGCAGTCTAATTTAAGCCTCACGCATATTGGGACTCACTGATCAGGACCTGGACTATTTCAGCTTCCAGTTAAACAGTCCCCGGCACTTTCCCAAGCTTGCAGTGACATACGTGAACACAGTGTTTTAAGACATTAATGAACTTTATTACATGATCAGTCACCAATGAAAATGTTTATGTTCAAATAAAGTTAAACACATGTTCCACATAGATATTGAAGAGGTGCCACAAGTATCAAGTACACTTGTGAATGAGGTTTTACTGAATAACGCTACAATATAACAAAACTAGCATGAATTAGGAATTAGCACAAAGGTCCATTTGAACAGACCCCGATACCAGCTGCTTGCAATGCCTTTAATATGTCAGAGTGCTGTCTGAGGAAAATACAGTACAGTACTTCCTGCTGGGAACACCCTCATTTAACCACAGCTAAACAAGAATCTGCCTCACATCAGACATTTTTATTTTTCTAGTTCACAATTTTGTGTGCACTAAACTGATATCAAAGGCTGCATAATCAGCGCTTTCTAAGAACTTTAATTTCAAAATGAAGTAATCCGAAATGTGCTTCATTCTCCAGCTCCCACACGAACAGCAATGGTATCCCTCAAATTACATTTTAGTTCTCAGAAGTTATACAGTAGTTAACTGAAAAGACCCAACAGACTTTGATACGTTCTGAGAGGTGGATGACAGGGAGTTGGTTCTTTATGATTAATGATTCACTGACACATGGAATTATCAAATGAATGCTGGGGGGGTGTGTGCCAGTTTCAGGGTACGCAGTCACTGCATTCAGATGAAAATGTGCATTTCTTGGATTGATCTTTAATCCACAAACTGAACATCTGTGAATTTCTCACTCAAAATGTATCTTATATTAAGGGCTATTGAGGCATTTTTTGTTAAGCAGTAAAAGAAACATTAAAAACATTCATTTACTGAAACAAAAAAAAAGAAAGCTGCATAATAGAAAAAAGCTGTTTTATAATGACGAAGCCTAACAAACACTCTCGATAAACACACATTCAAGATTAGGGCAAAGCAGAACCTTCTTTTACCAATATACTATTTTCTGAAAAAACGGTAAGAAATTAAAACAGTAAAACACCATAAAAAGGTACAAAATATATTACTACACATCTAGGAGTGCATTATTGGCACCATTCCTGATAGATTACTATAATAATTAGAATTGACTGCAACGTACTGATTAATACTTGGACTACAGAACTTTCAATAATCAATAGAATCACAATCACACACAATCTCTGTATGTCAAATCTGAAGGCAGTAAGGGGACCTTATACTTTACAAAGAAAAAAAGTCTGGCACACAGTTTTGTTAAATCAACAGTGATTGATTATTGTAATACAAGGATAAGGTGCCTCCACCTTTGTCGGACCTAGAAATTGTCAGAGATACAGCAGCTCTGATGACCCAAAGCCAGATCGTTGCCACCGCTCTGAAAGAACAGATATTACAGCAGGTTCAGAGCAGGTGGAGATCCTCAACATTAAACAAGGGCAGGAAGGCCAAAGTCTCAGTGGTCTGATTAGTAATAACTGAAGCAGATCAAGTCATCTTCAGAGTAATAATAAAAGCAACAGCTGATGCGCAACACTACAGGTCTTTGATGCGTTACGCTACAGTGAAAAACTGAACGGGCCAGGCCTTGAAACACTAACAGTTCGTATTTGCTTTTTTTGCTGCTCCTTTGATTTGTTAACATGGTCTTATAGATAAATCCAGATCTTTGACTGCATACGGAGAGTGCATACTGTATAAAACCACTTGACCCACAAGGTTAGTAAGAGGTGAGATTCAGCCGAAAAGAATGCTTACCTTAAGAAAACAAAATTGCACCTATGAATTGTAAATCAGACTTCACAAATAATTATATCAACATCCCATTAAATGCAGCCCAGTTACATACCCGAATAGCCATTTCTGCTGCCACTGTTCATGTGCTTCTGAGCCTCTTCCTACACCTAAAATAAACCTCAGCACTTTGTATTCCATATAGACTTCTCTATTTCTGGCACATACTTCATCCAGCAGTGAACTACATAGCACGGGGCAGGCTTCAACCTGACATCTGACATTTACTAAACACAGCTCACCGGTCCAGCTATTAGATTAGAGGGGATGCACTAATGTCACTTCGAAAGGTGGTACTTTGATTTTATTGATTAACTCCCCCCCCGAGAATACTAATAATCATTTTCATGAGACAATCGCTAAAAGTTATGCTATGTACATGATGAGCCCACAGCGTGAACCTTCCTGCAAGACTAACAACAGATGGGTCCAACTCAGATATTCAAAGGACCAAGGTCCAAGGCCGGCAAATCACAACTGATTTTGTGTACGGCAGATACACACACCACAGAAGCCAGCGATACGGCAATTCGAAACCGATTAAATGGATTAAAAAACTACCAAAGCACGTATTTCACACCCCTGTGGTGATGATTTAACATTGCTCACGGTGGCGAACACCTCTTTCTCCAGTGGCTAAATCAACAAGCTGTCAAAAATGTCAGATTGAATGGGGTGACCGTTGTGTTTATTTACTGTAATGGCAGCAACATTGCTAAGTGACCTACAATAGGATAACGATTAAAAATCACAGCAATCGTCACTTGATCACTTGAGTCAAACACTTTGAAGAATCGAGTAATTAGAGGTTATTTTTTCTCTTTTGTTTGTTTAATTTCTACCAAGGTTGCAAGTGCAAAGTAAGCTAAAAAAACATCCGGTTTTCCAATACTGCCTGTGTGGACGCTACACTGTGTCAGCAAGCAGTAATTGGAATTAAAAGAAAAATATCGAACTGATTTTATGCAGAAGGCAAAAGGTGCGAAAGTTGAATCGAAGAAAGGCTTTCATATGTTTTGAAACAAACGTTTATTATGATCACACAGCTGATCGTGAGCAGTGGATATTGTTCAGCGAAAAATGAGCTTTTCTGTTAAAAATCCTAACGCACGCAGGTGTGGAAACAGATAAAGAAACAATGTGCATTCCCTACCTTTGATTTTTGCAACGCACCTTTTTTTCGGCCTCCTTAATTGCCGTTTGTTGAATACTGAACAGTTTGCAATATGTGAAGTTGCTGTCAAAATCAAGAAAAAAAGCGTACAGGAAGCTGGTTTAACCTTAGCTTTCCTCCATGATAACACGGTCTGCAAACGGAGATTGGTCTGAAACTAAACGTAATTCAATACATATTTACTATTTAGCACAGGCAGAGAAAATAATCATATTTTATTTACTTTTTCTCCTGCAGGTCGTGATACCTCACCTAACGCCTACGTAGCGAGACGTGAGTATTGCTATCTGGGTCTTGTAGTTTTAACAGGAGCATCGTGGTAAGAAAGCAGAAAGAAGGCGGCTCGGTGGAAAAACTACAAATCCCACAATGCACTTAAACCACTTCCTCCGCGTGCTAATAGGTTTTTGTGGTGGCAACGCCTCTAAAAGTCATTCAATTCAAGCAAGGAAGTTGAGACGCGTAGAGTCGATTTAAACTCAGCAATTCGGTAGCTGCTGAGTTATTTAGCTAAAAGCTGGTGCAGCCACCTGATTATGAAGACTTTTACAAAAAAAATATGCATGGCTGTTGCATCGAGTCTGCAGACAGGTTACTGAATTGTAAATGTCGAAACACACAGGAATAGCAAAATAACTTGTAAAACCTGACAAAATATTAGACGTATTTTAAAGCACTGCAACACGGACTAGTAGGTGAACATATAAACATGTGTTCATAAATATGACACAATATATACACATTATTACACAGAATATTTTGGTAATATTCCATGTCTCTAATGCAACACTAGAAAATAGGATGGCGTAGTACAGATTTTACAGTTCTGTCCATTGGAATGTAGCGTAGTATACAGAGACTTGACTCCACATTTTAATGGCATTAATTAACTACAAAGCATTGCGCGAGAGTGCCATTTTGGCGGGGCTTATTTATTTTTAAATACTGATTTATATTTGTCAACACTGAAGCATGCAAAAGGAAATGACTGACAATTTAATCAACTTATCCTGATCGTTTCCAATAGCAGCATTTCAAACGTGAGTTAATTTAATGATGATGGATTTTTGTAACGATAGGTGTCTGTAGAGCGCTATAATCAAAGGGAGACGATCTGCGATGTGTCGTCAGATCTGTTTAGCTGATAGTTATTATGTTATTTATAACAAATCTGGTTTAGGCATGAATTATTTCCCGAATATTTAAATAAGCAGCAAAAATACAAAACAGTAACATTATTATTAGTTCCGAATAACATAGTATTCTAACTTAAGCTTGCTTGCCCTCTGGAACATCACCAGACACTCATAGAATAACTAATGATTGCTTTGCCAGGTGGCCAAATGCCATGTGTTCAATTATGAACACTGTGGTCATTAACACACCTGCACATCTCATCAGCCACAGCTCCAAGACGTCTGCAGAAGGCTAAAAAAAAAAGGCCTGTGCCTTCACATTTGTTTTTAGAAAGGAGAAAATCAAAGAAGTTTATTGAGATTTTGTGCTGCCCTCAAAGATTTTGGATAAAGCTGCTCTGGACACAGTAGGAGAAAAAGGTGCAAATATCTTGGCACGAACAAAATAACTAACGACTTCTCACAGACGTGGTAGAAAACATCTTTACCGGCAAGCAGGCCCACTTGTGCTTTCCAATTGTGACCACTAGCGGTCCCCCAAACACAAAATGAAAGCAAAGTTTAAGAAAAAAGACACATATGCTAACCCCCAAGAAATTAATTGCATCTAATGATGTAATGCATTATGTTCAGTCATCGGGTTTTAATTTCACAAGAGGATATTGCAAGACACCGCCCACGGAAGGCCATATGTGGTTTTTAAAACCGGACATGCAGAGGCCTAGATTTATGCTTCATTTTTTGAAATGTGGAAACCTCCAGGAAACAATCTGTCCTAGTGACTCTAACGGGTGAGGCGCAGTGTTTTTGATCCCAGGACTGTTTCAAAATGGAACTGTTTCACAAGCTGCCTTACCAGTTTCACACTCTGTCAAACAAATGCCAGAGTGTCCTTGTTTTTTGGGGGTCATGAAGCTACTGCAAGTAGCCCTTCACAGGGTTTAAGACAAGTAAACCTGTTAACAGTTTCCCACCTTAGATTCAATTCAGTAAACGATGCTCTAGCAGGAAGAAGAACATCTTCATCTGTGTAATATAGAAAACACTTCCATCTGAAGGTATTGGCGTTACAATCTAAAAAACGAAAGCATTTCAATCTTTTTTTAAATACATGAAAACTAATGCCTTTCATTTATAACCCAGAAAACAATACAAATCTTCTCATTTAACCTGCCATTCATCCATTTGCAGTCAGAAATAAATTAATACTAACCAATCAACTGTGCAACATTTCTCCTTATATAACACATCGCAAAATTATGTGCTGTGTATTTGTTGAAGTCCAGTGGTTTACTATAATTGATCTTTCTTCACCTGCAGTTTATATTTTTTTGTTGTTTCAAGTGAACTACACTATTTTATTTGACTCATGCCTTTATCCGAAGCTACACACGGAGAGTAGAATGACCCATTTTTCTTTCTTATGGCACATTTCAGTTTCTTTTTATACATTTTTTAGGAGCAATCTGGAAAAAGTGCTTTGCTTGAAGGTGAGGTTGCAGAATCCTACCTGGGATGTAGAGCCTTCATCGCTATTGTTTTTTTTTTTTTGTGTGTGTGTGTGTAAAAAAAATTGAAGAAAACACACTTTTTTTTTGAGTTCGTGAAAGACCTCAAATGATGAACAAAACAGCTGAGTGGCCCCTCAAGTTTAAGCTAATCTACAGAACATGAGCAAAGAGGCCGTCCTTCAGATACACAAGTCCATGTGTTTTTTTTGCACACAGTCTCTGAGCTGATATGTTAGAACGTGGAGCCAGTCCTGATTGTGGAGAATGCCTGAGCCTGATTTCTGAGTCTGTTCCTCTGAGGAGCGTTTCTTTCGAAGAACACCGCCGCTGTCCGCTCTTTAATTGTTTGCCTTAAAAGCTCAACCTGCCCTTTTAGGGTATGACAAGAGGACAGAATAGTTGCTGAAAAATTGCTGTAAGATGTGAGTAATGTGGCCAGCTTGCTCTGCAGACGAATATGATTTAGCTGTACATGGCCACAGTCACAGAAAAGAATTCGTCAGACTTCCCTGTGGCCAGATAGCAAGGATGTCGGCTCTCGGGGGTTCTGTGAGGCTTAAAGATGCGAGCAAGCCCTATGCGCCCTGCTACATTACTAGGGTAGTAAAACATTATTATAGCTGGCTGGCACATTCTGGACTCTCTTCTGGAAAGTATGCAAGTCTGGGTTTTCCTTCTTCCACAGGGAGTTACAGTGTGATCCTACCCTAACACACGTCTGTCGTTGTTGAATATTTTGGCTGCAAAGCATTGTTTTCGTGAATGAGACATGCCATAGCTTCTTCCTTTCCAGCAAGGGATCAGATCACTTTATTGGCCATATACAATTTCTTGTATTAGGAATTTGTCTTTTTGCATACCCCAGCTTGCTCTCCATGAGACACACAGACACAGAGACAGGGTGAGAGAAGCTTGGGGTCAGAGCGCAGGGTCAGCCATTTATACGGCTCCCCTGGAGCAGCTGGGGTTAAGGGCCTTGCTCAGCGGCCCAACAGAGTAGGATTCCTCAATAGGCCGCAGGATACGAACCGGCAACCTTCCAGCCACAGGCGCAGATCCTTAGCGACAGGGCCACCACACTACCCATAGTGATAGCGAGCACCAGTGTCAATCGAAATTTGTGGAAGGAGTACGACGTCCCTGTGAGCGAGAGACAGACAGGTGGCAGCTGGGGAAGACGTGGCAGGTGAGGCCTGTCTGGTCCAGCCCAGCTGCAGGGCCACGGACAAGAGGCTGCTGCCAGGCTGATAGCCCTCAGGCAGGATGACTGACCTATCACTTAAAGGCATTTGTGCAGTGCCAGCTGCACCACTTTCCCCACACAAAAAACAATGTCGACATTGTGTGGCCTTGTCCCATAGAACAGCTGCCTGTTGCCCACTCCCTGGCCGCCTAATAAACACACACATTCCACTGAACATCTGACATCCAAAAATATTTTGAAAATAAAGCTGTAAAATAGTCATGCCCCAAGTTGTCATCTTTAACGGTTGGAACTATTGAAAGTTAGCTGTGTGTACATCTTTTACCCCCAAAGTTATTGAGATAAAAACATCAATCTATGAAAGGAATCAATTTTTTTCATCTCAAGGTTATGTTTGATCTGATATCAGGCAAAAGCTGTTGCAAATTCTAATGCAGACTAAAGCAACCTGTTTGCATGCCAATAGAGGTTCCCACGTTAGTTTTTTAACATTCTATTATGGAATTGAGAAAAATATTTTCTAGTAATAGAAAATTATTAAGGAGAAGTATCTATGAAACACGGTTTCTGAGTTATTTTCATTG